TACCTATGAATTCAGAGGAGTAGATCATTGTAGGCAACGATTATTTCTCGTCAATCGTTAGCGGTAATGGTAAAAATGCCCTTAGAGCAATTTTTGGAGAGGGAGAATAGTCATCTACATAAAGCTTAAAACTCAAGGATTAGAAACTCGTGAATTTTAGGAAAAGGAAAGAAGATTGTGATTTGCAGGGACCGACTGCTCGCTGCATATAACAAAGATATTAATCATGATATACCTATGTATAATATACATTGATATTCTGTTGAATCAACAGAAATTTTTTTGGCCTTTAATTCATAGACATTTCTGCTTAGCACACGACTGGACCTCGACAGTGCTGTAGCTGTGACGTTCAAAGAATGAAATTTATTTATGTAGGAGAACAAGTCTCCTTTAACCTCTTTGCATGCAATTTATGGAGGTGAACAATGTCTACGGTCTAACAAGCATAGGGCTGCTGCTGGCAAAAATTCTCTCATTTGAGCCGATTTAGGTTGCATTCGACTTTTCACGGTAGATTTAAGAGGGGAATTTTGAATGTTTTTACAGGAATTTTTAAAACTGATAGGGTGCAAAGAAAGTTAATATTCATTGTTATTAAGCTACCAGAAGCAATTGAGTGGTCAGAGCTGCATTTATTTGTAATAACTGGGCTTATCGTAGACGTTGTAATTTAGTTCTGCGAAGTCCAACAAGAAAAGCAGTATGTGTAAGTGCTAGTAAAGCAATGTGAAGAAGAATAATTGCCATAAGTGAATGGCTGGAATAACAAGAAGGAATTAATTTAAGATTAAATTCTCAAAATGAAATTCGTTTTGCACTGCCTGAAAGCGATAACTCACTACCTCTGTGGTTATAGCTGCGGTAATGCTGAAATCATGAATCTAAACCTTCGAATAAAATGAAGATACATCGGAGGCAATTATCACGTTTGTGTCCATGAAACCATTAAAAGCTCCCCAAACATTTTTGTATAAGGATAGACAGAAAAAACTTTTATTACTTGTTGGATTTGTTGTGCTGGAAATATTTTCAGTTTTTTATGGCAACCCAGCCGAGATGTGAAGTGAGCATGAAGTTAACTAACCCTTGAAAATAAAGTGCATGCAAACATATAAACATATACATACATGCATATATATAGTTATGGAGACTATTTATGTACATATATATAGACTATTTATGTAAATAGGTATATATACATAAATAGTCTGTAAAACTGTTCGTTCTTCAAAAGCTGAGTAAAAAATCATGGGTAAAATTTATTTGGTTGATTTACAGAAGAGAAAGAACGGCAGAAGAATGAGGAGAAAGAACGGCAGAAGTGTGACGAAGATGCCGAAAAGACATAAAATGAACAATTATCCTTGTTCCTGATGCTTACATGTTCACGATGCTTTGAGGACCAAAACTGTCGCTCGTTTGATGAACAAATGTCGAAAGCTTTCCTTCAGCTGTTTCTCAACAATTCTTCGTATTAAATGAAAAGGGGGAGCTCCATCTGTTTCTGAATCTTTATCCAATTAGACAGCTACATCTGATTTGCAATGCAACACAGTTTTGAGTTGAAATTTGGCACTCACGCATCGACGATCCGGCAGCAATAGGCCTAATTTTTGGATGAAAGAAAGAGTTGTGTTTCGTGTTTTTGACGTTACATCAGTAGATTTTGTTTGTTTTTATATGCCTCACTATGTTCAGGATAGAACAAAATAATAATTCAGGCTGTCTTTTAGTCCTGTAATATTTCTTTTTTGCATTAGTATTAGGCGTTGAACTGACGCTCGATTTGTTTTTGGTGATCTGTTGTGAACAGTACGTGTATCCACGGTCTGAGTGAAAGGCAGGCTGCACTGGTTAGACGTCGCCGATTCGAGTGAGTAGCTCTCATCTGTCGTTTGAATTTCTTAGTCATAGCCGTTTAGCCCTGACTGGCACAACTTTCTTTCGAATGAGCCCTCTTTGCCTTGTGTTTTCGTTTCGACCCGGCATTATTGACTCCCACTGACTGATAGAGACAGCTGGATGCGTCCTCACGCCTTCCACTCGGATGTGTCATAAGTATGCAATGTGTCAATAAAAATTTAAGAATGTAGTATTGTTTTATTGGTTAAGCAAACCAAAATTTCAAAAGCCACAATTTCAAAAGCGATTTTCGCTTAAAATGGGCGTGCATACAAACTTTGTCGTTTAAAGTTAATGATGTGTTGGGCCTTTTACGCCAACAAAAGTTTATTCAACCACACCAAACTAAAACAATTCTTATCACAATGCAGGACTACACACAGTCTTCAAGACTTCCCCACTCACACAACAAAACACGCGTTACAAACCCTCGCGACTCTAGCTGCAGCCGCGTAGGGCCGGCATTGTGAAGGACGGTTGCTCCATTAACGGCTAGACTGCAATACTTGTGTCCCATTCGTTCGTTCTGCTTCATACAAGCAGATCATCTTGCAGGTGCATGTCGATTCCGTCCTTCGCGCCCTTCCGATCACAACAGACTCAGCCTGTTGTAAATTCTACCATTC